GAATTGTAAAGAATAATGAAAAGATACCATTCAATGATTCATTCTTATAGTTACCAAGAATATAAAGTCACATTTGAAATTAGCAGGACGTTTTTTGGGGGTCTGGCAAAGTGGAGAGAGATACTTACAACTCTCTCTAGATACAGAATTGTGGGCCTGCTTCTGCGTACTGATTTGGGATCCACAGCCATTGAGATTTTTCAAAAAGCATAGTCCTAACGCAGTTTGTTCTTCCATATATCTGATTTCCTTTGAATCTTAATTCTACTATTGCAGGTTCTGACCATGTCTTAACTCCACATCTCTCCTATTCTCTGACTTCCATTACAACAGCCTCTCGTATACAATGATCATTGATTTTCTGAAGTCCATTTTTTCCTACAAAGCTGAACTTCTCCATCTTATCAAGATTCCATAGAATCCTTCTCCAACAACTCTCTTAAAAGCATCCACAACTACCTTTCAACTTGGTCAATACAAACATTTGCCTTCTCATTTCCATAATTAGGTTAATGAACACTAGCTCCTAGGCAAATGCTAAAAATTCATTATTATGCTTACCAGCTATTACTTAGAGGAATTGACTTTCTTTTGGCTACCTCAAGAATGAATGTTGTAACTATAGCAAATTACCTAAAAGTAGATCCAATTGATCTTATCACAGACGGTATTTGTTTTTGTTTTAATTTTTATTTTATCAAAGTTATACATATATAATGATTTTAAAAGTCAAATAATTTCTAAAGACTTATAATAAAAAAAAAGAAAAAGAAAAAAAAAGCAATTCTGTACCCCATCCCTCTCAGGCTCTATTTCTACTTTCAACTCTTTTTCCCAATTCTTATTTATTCTTATTTACCTCTTTGTTTCTGTACTTATACTTCTCTTTTATCACTCTATATTTTCTGTTTTAGGTATTATCTGTTAATATTTTTATTAAGTACTTTGCTTTCTTAATTTTTCACCCACCACATACACATTCCCTGTCCTCCCTTAACTTCTCAATATAGTTAAGTTTTAACTTTTATATCGTAATTTTTCATGTATCAGTATTGAATGTTCATATTATGACTTTAAATGTTGTGAACATTAGAGATACACTGTTTTTAATTATTATTCTATTTTAAAATAAATAACAGTTTTCCTCGAAAGGAAGATTGGGCAATCTAATTCTGTAGAGATACCACCTTGGAAACCCAACGAGTGGTTGCTATGAGTCGCAAAAGACTCGAGGACAGTGAGTTTGTTTTTTTATTTTTTATCAGTCTTCCATGTAACCATCTTTAATTTATGCCCAAACTCTCTGACAAAAGTATTGTTATTTTGTCAGTACTTGGATATGTTGTGTAATGCATCTCTTTTTAAGTACACAGCACTTTTCTGAGGTCTCCCTTCACCATCTGTATTCTCACTGCTGTCGAGTCAATTCTGATTCATAGCAACTTCTCCTCGGGTTTCCGAGGTGGTATCTCTACAGAAGTAGATTGCCTAGCCTTCGTTTTGAGGAGTGGCTGGTGGGTTCAAACTTCCAGCCTTCAGGCTAGGGTGCTACACCTAACCAAGTATAATTCATCCAGGAAAATTTATTCTGTGAGGTTATATCTAAATGATCCTACATTATGGAAATTAACTGAAATTATTTGTAAAATGCCCCTCATGTAGCAAACATTGGATGTTTACTTTAGTGATTTTCAGTTTCATTTGTAAATTGAGTAATAGAGATTTGTTAGAATTATCAACCCCTGCTAAGTATTTTTAAATCTGTACATAACATAGCTATTTATGGAAATGCTAACTTAGAATTTACCATTTCTAAATAAGCAAGATAATATAAAGTGTTATAATGAAATATACAAAGTCCTGCTGGAGTTAGAAAACCAAAAGGGAAGAACATGCCCAGCATTTCTCAAGCTGAAAGAACTGAAGAAAAAATTCAAGCTTCAAGTTGCATATTCAAGGATTCAATGTAGAAAATATTGAACAAAGCAGGAGGCCTCAAAAGAAGATGGAAGACATACACGGAGTCACTGTACCAAAAAGAATTGGTTGATGTTCAGCCATTTCAGGAGGTAGCATATGATTAAGAACCAGTGGTACTGAAGGAAGAAATCCAAGCTGCACTGAAGGAATTAGAGAAAAACAAGGCTCCAGGAATGCATGGAATGCCCATTGAGATGTTTCAACAAATGAAAGCTGTTCTGGAGGTGCTCACTTGTTTATACATTTGGAAGATAGCTACCTGGCCAATTGACTGGAAGAGATAGGTATTTGTGCTTATTCCAAAGAAAAGGGACCCAATAGAATGTGGAAATTATCGAACAATATCATTAATATCACATGCATGTAAAAGTTTGCTGAAGATTATTAAAAAATGGTTGCAGCAATACGTTAACAGAAACTCAAGCCACATTCAGAAGAGGACATGGAACAAGAGATATCATTGCTGATGTTAGATGGATCTTGGCTGAAAGCAAATAATACCAGAAGGATGTTTACCTGTGTTTTATTGACTATGCAAAAGCATTTCACTGTGTGCATCGTAACAAATTATGGAGAACATTGAGAAGAATGGGGATTCCATAGCACTTAATTGTGCTCATGAGGAACTTGTACATTGGCCAAGAGGCAGTCCTTTGAACAGAACGAGGGGATACCACACATAGTTTAAAATTAGGAAAGTTGTGTGTCAGGGTTGTATCTTTTCACCATAGTTATTCAGATTGTATGCTGAGCAAACAATCTGAGAAGCTGGGTTGTATGAAGAAGAATGCAGCATCAGGTTTGGAGGAATACTCATTAACAACTTGTGATATGCAGATGATACAACCTTCTTGCTGAAAGTGAACAAGATTTGAAGCACTTCCTGATGAAGATACAAAACTACAGCCTTCAGGATGGATTACACCTCAACATAAAGAAAACAAAAATCCTCACAATTGGACCAATAAACAACATCACAATAAATGGAGAAATGATAGAAGTTGTGAGGGATTTTATTTGTTTTTTCAGTCAAGACCCATGGAAGCCACAGTCAAGAAATCACATCCATTGCTCTAGGCAAATCTGCTGCAAAAGACCTTTTTCAAGTGTTAATGAGCAAAGATGTCACACAGAAGACTAAGGTGCACCTGAACCAAGCATTATTTTCAGTTGCCTCATATGCATGTGAAAGCTGGACAAGGAATAAGGAAGATCGAAGAGCATTGTTTCATTTGAATTGTGTTAGCGAAGAATATTGAATGTACCGTGGACAGTTAGAAGAATGACAAATCAGTCTTGGAAGTACAGCTGGAATGCTCCATAGAAGCGAGAATGGGCAGACTTCTTCCTGTGTACTTTGCTCGTGTTACCAGGAGGGACCAGTTCCTGGAGAAGGATACCATGATTTGTAAAGTAGAGGGTCAATGAAAAAGGGAAGACCCTTAACAAGATGGATTGACACAGTGGCTTCAATGATGAGTTCAAGCATAGCAAACACAGGACCCAGCAGTGTTTTGTTCTGTTGTATACAGGATCACTATGAGTCTGAACCAACTCAGTGGCACCTAACAACAACAACAAATAATCAAGATGTTTTGGAAATGTTCCCTTTAGATATATGGCATAATAGAAATCTAGGATGAAAAAACAAAACAAAACAACAATCCTGGCTTTCACTCTTAATCTAATTCTGTCACTCAGTGCCATTAGAATCATTCTTTAGAGTTATGCTCAGGTTCTTAACCTAGTTCTTCGCCTTCAGAGATGTCTAGTTAGGATACTTGCTCATCTCAGGAAACTGCATGACAATATAGCAGAGCAGAATCTTACCTTTACTCCTTCAATGTAATGGATAACTCCTCTGAACTGGAGAATACTAATTTGTAAAATGGATATAATAATAGTTTGTTTTTGGTGAAGATTATATCATTATATATTTTACTCTTAGTTATAATTCACCTTCAAGTTGTGATAGCTGTATAATAACAATTACTATTCTTATAACTTTATTTTTAACTGTTTTAATAGTTCTAATATTTAGGATAATGATAATCATTGCCATGAATATCTGTAAGAGTCCCTGATTGGTGCAGATGGTTTAACACTAAACTACTAAATGAAAGGTTGGTGGTTCAAACTCACCCAAAGGTGCATCAGAAGACAGACTTCCAAAAAGTCACAGCCTTGAAAACCCTATGGAGCAGTGCTGCTCTGCACACATGGGGTTGCCATGAGTCAGAATGGACACTGCAGCACTTAGTAACAACAAGAACAGTAATTTCTGTGTTTTCATTTTCTATGGAATGTATGAAGGATATTTGTGTTCCCTACAGAATTCCATAACTATAACTCAAACTGTATTATAGTATTTTATTTATGAGTGTTATCTTGTAGAGGAATTAAGATATTTCTGTATCTTAACTTTTTGCAAAAGTACTGAAGGATGATACTTTACATTATTATTTATAACCTATAATAATAAATTCTTGGTTTTAGATAAAGGAATTTTAATAGTAAAGCAATTACTATTTGGTGTTCCCAACACTATCGGTCCTAGAATCCTTCCTTTCTCCTAGTTATTACTAAAATTTTTATCTTTCTGTAGAAATAGGTGGATTTTGTTACCTGCTGTTGATTATACCATTTTCCTGTCTGTATTAAGAGAAAGTAGAGGTAAAAATCATGTATAATTTGTTATGCTGAGCAGTTACTTAAAATAGGTTGTAGCAAAAAAGATGGTAATATTCTCACATGCCGTTTATGTTGCTTTCTGTTTTGTTAGGGGGTGACAGAGTGATTTACCTTCTTTAAAGATTATTCTTAGGTTATATATTATCTGTAAACCAGTAAAAATGCAAAAAGTAACCTAGTTATTTGCTTACTGTATTTTTATCTGACAAATGAACTGTATTTGAATCTTATACTTTACTTTTCCCTCAGAAGATATTGTGTATGTTTAAAACTGGATTGCTCAAACTTGATATTCTTCCAAAACTAAACATGTTTTCCTTTCATCCTAGTTTAGACTTGGTTCCTTCAACCTAGAGAAAGTTGCAAACCCAGCTGAGGTCATTAGAGAACTTATTTGTGACTGCCTGGATACCATCACAGAAAACCAAGCCAAAAACCAGCACCTGAAGAAAGAAAATGAAAGGCTTCTGAGAGACTGGAATGACGTTCAACAACGGTGTGTAGACAACGTGTTTATGTTTTAAAAGCACTGATTTGTGTTTATATTATTGAAGTTTTAAATTTATGATTTATAAATTAGTAATGTAGATTGTTGTTGTTGTTATATGCTGTCAAGTCGGCCCCAACTCATAGCACCCCTCCTTGGGTTTCCGAGGCAGTATCACTATGGAAGTAGATTGCCTAACCTTCCTTCCGAGGAGTGGCTGGTGGGTTTGAACCACCAGCCTTCTGGTTAGCAGTCAAGTGCCTTAGGCACTGTGCTACCAGATCTCCTAATAATGTAGATAGACTAGTGTATATTCAGAGTAAATGCTGTCATTATGTACACCTACACTGAATATGGTTAAACCAAATTATTGGTCACTATTACACATTATAAAAGTGCAGTGACACTTAAGATATTAGTATTTTGTGTTACTAGCAAACTTTCATGCAGTAAGGAGTGAATGGGTATTAAGAATCACAGTCCATTAATATTAATCAAAATTTAAGTAGTGGCTGTTTTTATGGACCAATTCAGTTCAAATAGTAGAATTAATGAATAGAAAAGGGACATGAAATAAGTACAATCAATTCTTTATTTTTAATCTTTGTTTCAGTGGCAGTTATATCATATGATGTGTGTTTTGACTCCTGGTAGAAAATTATTTTTTCCAATTGATTGAAAATTCATACTTCCAGCTATTTTTAAAAGATGAAGTAATTGCTACTGGATAAGACATTTGGAAGCCTTTGCCTCCTGACTTTGCCTCTTATTTTTTAAATACTGAAGAAGTCAGTTATCTTCTCAATTACACATTTTCTCAAGTGTATTCGCAATTTGGATTGGCCTGATGTGCAGTTTGTATTACTCTACATGTAAAAGATTTTTAAGGAAATAAAATGTGTTGTGAACATTTATAACTCTACAGAGATATAATACAATATGCATATATTTGAATATATATGTATAACAACTTGAAATAATTATATGAAATATATATCATAATGTTATTACATCTAGTACATGCAGATTTTTTTTGTCATTCATTGAAACCAGTAGCTCTAAAGTACAAGGACATTTATCCTATTTAGGGTCTTTCTAGGGCATTTATTGTGATTGTTTTATATGGACATTAGTAATTATATGAGGAGTCCTGGTGGCAGAGTGGTGAAGCACCAGGCTGCTAATCTAAACGTCAGTAGTTCAAACCCACTAGCTGCTCCATGGGAGGAAGATATAGCAATCTGCTTCCATAAAGATTGGAAACCCTAGGGAGCCTTGGAAACCCTGGGGAGCAGTTCTACCCTGTCCTGTAGCATTGCTATGAGTCAGAATTGACTTGACAGTAATAGCTAGAAAGTATGTGAAGTGATACATGCAAAATAGTGGCAAGTTTTACCACTCTCGATATCTGTATAGACAACTGAGGTTAACTAAACCAAAAAACCAAACTCAGTGCCTTTGAGTGGATTCCGACTCATAGCAACCCCCATTGGGTTTCTGAGGCTGTAAGTCTTTATGGAAATAGATTGTCACATCTTCCTTCCATGGAACTGCTGGTAGGTTTGAACCACTGACCTTCTGGTTAGCAGATAAATGCCTTATCCAGTATGCCACCAGAGCCCCTGAAGGTTAACTATGTAGAAGTAATTTTTTTTATAGATTTGGTATTTATAAAATAATAATAAAATAATAAAATGGTCTTATCATCATTAATGAATGCAAAGCGTATAAAATTATGTTCCTAACACCTAGTAAAAGAGCTCTGGTAGTGCAGTGCCTAATCCATTTGTCTTCTAACCAGAAGTTGGCAGTTCAAACCCAACCAGCTACTCTGTATAAGGAAGATGGGGCAATATACTTCTGTAAAGATATACTGCCTTGGAAACTCAATGGGGGTCCCTATGAGTTGGAATGGACTTGATGGCAGTGTGTTTGTTTGTTTATTTTTAACACATAGTTACTATATTTGACTCTCAGATATTTCATTAGGAAAGTATTTGTCATGTTCTCCTTTAGCTCTGATTTAATTTTTATTTCTCGTTATATGAAAATGATGAGACAAAAAAACACTACAAAGTTTTGTTGTTGTTAATTCCGATTTTATTGTTGTTAGTATGAAACAAAAGCAAACGTCTGGGCTAGAAAGCAAATTTTTTGTTATCCTTTATCTGTAGTTTGGATATGTTTTTCTATTTTCTATTTGAAATAAATCAAATTAAAGAAGGTGTGGTTGGGTTGTGATAAGCCATTATATTTAAAACTCAAAGTACTCTTAGAATGATAGGAAATTTGATCCACAAATTATGCACAAAAATGATGACTGGGTACTTGGTACTTGAACAAATTGCTTTAGAATGTCTACCAGAGGTTGAAAGCGGTAATGTCTCATCAATATTCAACAGCACTGACAAGGAATGGAAAGCAGCAGGGAACAAAGATGTGAGGCAGTGGAGACAAATGCTCTTCATGTCTGAGGACTTCATGTAGTATGTAGCCCTTAGATGCTTGGTTTACTGTTTCTGAACTATCCTGAAAGTGCTTTTGTCTTACTGTGACAAACAATATCCTATAGGATAAAAAGCACAGCCATGTACTCTGTCACCTGCCTTACTAAGCTTTAGCCATTTATTTGAGTTACTGATTCAAACATCTTCACAGGCTGCAGTGTAGGTCTTTGGAGTGGCCCTTGGAACAGAGAGAAGAATCTATTCAACAGAGATTCTAGGCTCTTGATTTTATACCAGATGTTAAATTAGTAACTTTATCTAACTATTTCCCAAATTCGGTTTTCTCTTTCATCAGAGAAGAAATGGCCATTTTAAGGAATTGTAAATGTATACTAGTCACGGCCAACCAGTACTTCCCCAGTAAAGCCTTACAAACCAAAAAAAAAAAAAAAAAGCATTGTTCTCAAGTCAATTCCAACTCATAGAGACCCTATAGGACATAGTAGAACTTCCCCATGGGGTTTCCAAGGGGAAGGAGTTCTGGTGGTGCATTATGTAAATCATTTGGCTGCTAACCAGAAGGTTGGTGGTTCAAATCCAGCTGTTCCATAGGAGGAAGATGAAACAATCTACTTCCTTAATGATTTACAGCTTTGGAAACCCAGTTGTGATTGCTATGCATCGGAATTGACTTGATGACAGTGTTTTTTTTTTGTTTGTTTGTTTAATCTCTATGGAAGCAGACTGCCACATTTTTCCTACCACAGAGCAGCTGGTGGGTTTGAACTGGTGATCTTTTGGTTCACAGCTGAGCATTTAACCACACCACTAGCAGGGCTCCTCACAGACTGTTAGTATACTGGAAAATGAGCAAAGGATTTACAGATCCATCTTTCATTAGGCAGCAGTGCTGATCAAGTCCAGGTCTTTAGAGAGATTAGAAACAGAACATGAGCATAGTGTCCAATAATAGGGGACACAGGAAGTAGAGAATCATTAGCCTTGGGCACATGATGTTATGTCTGGCCATAGTTTAGTTTGCTGAGCATTCTGTTTACTGTCTGTTACTGTCCATGCATGATCCAATCACTTCTTCCTCACTGTTGTCCCAGATTGTGTACACATGTATGTGGGTGCCGCAGAGGGGCACAAAGTAGGAGCCAGGAATTCCCCTAGAACCTGTCATAGATCAGCCTGAAATATATTTAATATGTAATAAGATATATAAGCAAAAACAATTAGGTACACATGTCCTTATTAACATGGAAAATGTTTATGATATGTGAAGAGGACATATGTAAACCACCAAAACTAAGAATAGTCTTCCATTTTGAGGCAAAACTTATGTTTATATAAAGAATATCTAGAAGAAGAATTAAATGTTAATAGTGTGGGTGTGGAATTGTGCATTAAATTTTCCTTTTTGTGGATAACTTTTGCATATACATTGGTACTTAAGTTTGTATCATTGCTAGAGCAAATTATAAAGTTATTTTCATTTGGCATAATGGTAGGAAATAAGATTTGAGTGAGGCATAAGGAATTACAGTATGAGTGAAAAGAACAAGCTTTAATGTGTAAATGTTCAGCTTCTATATTTGCTGTTATTGTTTAGTTACTGTTTAATAATAAGGTCTTCATCATTTTGAAAAAGTAACATTACTGTTATTAACAGTAATAATATAATTTTAGATAAAGAAGAAACATTAGAAGATGTGTTTGTGAATCCTTAAATTGTTGGCTATATTTATTTCTCTGTTTTTTCCTATTCAGTTTCAGGTAACAGCTCTCATTTTCCATATAACTAAATAGGTCTTTGCCCTCAGACATCAAGTTAGAAACTCTGGCTTTATTCTGAGTTACAGTAATTAAACCCATAATTAGAGGCAGTTTTCAGCAAATTGAATTGGGTTGACACTCATAGAGTCATTGAAATAGAAGAGACCTTGAAAGCTATCCTCAGTGCTCTGCCTTTAAGCTAGGATCACATTATGTCCTGATGAATTCAGTAAGATTTTTAAAGACCTCAAGAGGTATCTTCAACTCCTCTTGGTAGCCCATTACAGTGTTTAAGAACAGTCTCAGTCAGAAATTTCCTCCTTCCATCTCTTGGTAATCTGAGTCCTTCATGGTATAGTTGAAGGCCATTTCCTCTTCTTCTGTCATCAGAAAGGATGAGGAACAGCTGTTCACCATCTTCTTCAGTACTTAAAGTCTTATGAAATCTTTTTGCCACTGTTTTTTTTTTTCTCCTCTCTAATTCTTTTTAGTGTTCTTTGTCTCCTGAACTCTATTCAGATTTTCTTTTGCTAAGCAACCCTGACCTGAATACAGTAGTAAATTTGGCCAGATCTGATTGCAAATATGAGAATTACTGCACTGTTTCTAAGTACCATATGTTCACATATGTGTCTCTCTCTCTTTGAGCTATCATATAATCTGTTGTTTTATTTTGGATGTTATTTCTGCATAAAACTGCCTTATTTTCACTCTAATTTTTGTTGTTGCTTTTAAATAGGTATTCTTAGATGTTTTTCTGCCCTTCCATAAATATTTTATCTT